AGTGATTGCAGTGAACCAAGGCATGTACAGAACAAAAGCTCTGCTAGCCAGCCAGCCTTCTAGGAAGCCAGAAGCATTGCTTATCTCGTACATAGAAAAATTCTCTCATACTTATAATCTTCTGGTAACGCAGATAAACTTGGAGTTCAGGGAAAAAAGGTGAAAAGTAATAACATGCATATAAAAATCCAACTTCATCACTCTGCCAGCAAAGTCCTAAAATCATTTAACTACAACTATGAACTCATACCTCGGATCTACCAGCAAAAAGCTCATATTACTGTTTCCTCTAATCCTTCATCCTACAGTTGAAGAAACTGACCAAATATGGGCATTTTTTCTAACAGGGGACAAAAGCGTCTTTTCCGCACTTTTGGCTTTTCCCTTCTCATCCAAATTCAATCATACCAAATGCCCACACTTTTCATTCCCTTTTCCTATCCCCTCCATACCAAACAAGACTTTGATTCAAAGTCTGTAAGAGCCTACAACTTATTGAAAAATCAATGATGTTGAATGAAGCAGATAAGCATTTAGTTGTGGAGAAGAAAAAGCAAAGAGGATTGACATCATAATGGAGACAAAGAAAAGTACAAAGAGGTAGAATATTAAATCCAAAAACATCAACAACAATAATTTATTATATGGGGATAACCTAATCTGATAGTGTTTGAACTTTTGAAAACCAATCAACAACCGCTAAGTTCGTCAGGCTTGCAACTACCTTCTCCTATATAAACATAGATAGATATACATATAAGTAGGAGGATTCAAGATCAAGATTGAGAGTGTAGTTAGATAGAAAGAGAGAGAGATGGGTATGTGGGATTGGGAAAAGATGATTCAGGTAAAAGGGGAGGCTTGTTGTGGATCTTCCGCTGTTGGGTGCAATAACAAGCGCTTCATCTGATACTCCTTCCGTCAACAGCAGCACACCCAATCAGTTCAGAAGATTCTTGCTTGTCAATGGACTCGGTCGTACACATTCTACGGTAACCTCCCTACTTCCTCCCCAGTCCCCGCCTTTCTCTTTTCTCTCCGCGCATGCAGACTTGGGTTCTCCCTCTCTCCCCTCTCTCCACTTCCTCTCAGTTCCTTTTCTTAACTCTTCGTTTCATTTTTAAATAATTAAGATATAATATTTTTTATAAATTAATATTAAAATGTAAACTTTATAAAAATGAATAAATTTAAAATATAACTAATTTCATCTAAACTATAATTCAAGGGTTAGGATTATAATTAAAAATAAAAATAAATTATTAAATTAAAAAATAAATTATTAAATTCAATCATTCAAAGATGAATTCAAAGGTTGAGATGGCAAGTATAGAAAGAAAGTGAACAAAGGAGAATTGATAAAACTTAATTGCAAATGAAAACAATGGTAAATAGATATTTGAAATTTGCTATTAAATTTCAATTTTTATAGAGAAGTTGTGATTCTCTGTTTTTAAATACTCATCATCATTGTTATGTGTTATATTTTATTGATAAAAAATGATAACAAGATATTTATAATTTGCTCTTATATTTTAATTATTTGTCCAAGAGAAATTATCATTTTCTATTATTAAGTAACCTTTGTTTTCTATGCGTATGTTTTATTTTAAATTTTAAATTGAGAGAAAATTTGTTATTTTATCAAAAGTCAATATATTAGATTAAACTACACAATAATTATTACATTTTACAGTAATTTTTTGTTATTTATATGTAAATAAATAACACATCAAATATACATATATCTTGATTTAATTAAAAATATTTTCTTTGATTCTATTTATAAGTTATTTTTAGCATGTCTTAAAATTAACAATTTGTTAATTTTATCTCTATTAAATATATATATATATATATTTAAAAAATAAAATATGCAAGCATTTAATAACCTTTCTAACATTTAATAGAAGAAAAAGAGTAAAAATAAACATAATAACCATTGAAGTGACTTATAAATAATTAAATTAAATAGGAAGAACTACTGTAAAGTCCTAGCCAATTCATTTAACTACCCCCAAGTTCTATGAAATGCATAATTGCCACCAAGTGCCAAATCATTGTGCAACTACGAAATACCCTTAAAAATATATATCCTTCATTCACCACAGTCATTGGAGCTTCGGCCAGCCTCCACTAAAGACCTCTTGCCACCACTGTCATTCACTTGCCGGCGACTCTGTTAATTTTGACTTTTTAAATCTTTTTTTTTAATATTTCTATCTATACTTCATATTTCATACTTTCAAATATTTGTAAACTCTAATATTTTTTATTTTGAATTTGAAATGATTTTAGTCATACTTAAACTTGAGATCCCATTAATTAACATGGTTTTATATTATCAAATATAAGTTTCAAAACTTTTCTAATATACTAGAGTATTGTTTTTTGGTTTTAAACCATTCTAAATGGTAAGGACTTTTTTATTGACATGATATATGAACTAATTTAATAAATATAATTCCAACAACCACAATATACTTTAAAATTGAGTCTTTTTCTTTCTATTATGGTTTGTCCTTTTTATAACTATAGTTAAAGAATCTTTCATGGTCGATTACCTGGGATGAGTTATTTCCTAATTATCATGGTAGATTGTGTTTAATATGGTTAAGTATGTAGAATAATTTGGTGATATTACACCTAGTTGTTATTTACTTAAACTTAAATTATTTTTTCGTGAGACCCAAATTGTTATTCTCCTTTGCCAAATTGTTATTTCATATACCCAAATTGTTATTTTCCTTTGTCAAATTAATCATTTATATACTCAAATTGTCTTTTACTTAAATTGAGTTGTTTTTTTTTCTTATATTTGAGTTATTATTTTTCTCTACTAAGTTATAATTTTCTTATGCTCAAATTGACACCAATTATGTATGCATGCATGGATGTACATGATATTTTACACTATTATATTAATAAGTATAAGTAGCCCAATGGTAGCCTAACATTTTAAGAATCTTTTGGTTTAGTTCTAATCCTCCTAAAACCACTTTTCCCCCAAATAAAAAAATCCCACCACGATCATTGAAGCTCCAACAACCAGCAGTGGTGGTAAGAGGTCTTTGGGGAAGGTTGGCTAGAGCTCTGGCGACAGTGGTGGATGAAGGATATTTTTTAAAAAAATAATGTAAGAGATATTTTTGTAATTGTGTAGAAATTTGAGATTTGGGGACAATTTATGCCTTTCATGAGACTCGTGAGTAATTGAATTAGTGGTGGACATTTATAGTAATTCTTCCAAATAAATACTCTCCTTTAGGGCTGTGTAAAAGTCTTTCGATCCTGTCTGACTCAGTCGAACCTGAAATATTTAGTCCGTTTTAGTCTATATAAACACTGATCCATCATGATCAAAAAGACTGAAAAGACCAAACTATTTCTTTAGGTTAGACTGGATAGGAGATTGGGTATCTAGACCACTTAATCCAATCCGATCCTACTAATTTATTTAATAGAAATATAATTAATTTATTTTGACAAAAAGGAGATGATTGTATGAAGATTGTTGATTTTATTTCTAAATTATTGTTGTAATATAATGTTGTTGAAGTTTGTTAAGTGTTCTTTTTGTTAAAGTTATAAATTTAAACCATTTGAACTATAACATAAATATTTTTTTTTAGTGTTGAAAATTATTATGAATTTATTGTTATTATAAGTTGTTTTTATTATTTTAATTGAGTTTATTAGGTTGAAATAAATTATCGCCTCTCATAAAAGAAAAAGGAAAAAAAAGTTAAGTGAATTTGATTAACATAACCAGTCTCCCAATCCTATAGATCAAGTCCTGTCCTGTTAATCTTTGAATTATTATTAAATAAAACCAGACTACGAGTTGTCTAATCCAGTCCTTTTCATAAAAGAGATAAAACTTCAATTCGGTTAGGCTAAAGTCTTAGTGCCGTCCAGTCATTTGCACAGCCCTACTCTCCTTCTATCTTGTAAATAGAACAAAGGAGCATATAAGCATTGGCATTCAAAAATTATTTAGCATACTTTTGATCTAATAACTAGCTAGTACCGCAACGCCACCTTTACTCTCTCTTGTAACAAGGACAATCCAGGTTCAAACTCGAATCTAGGGTGAGCATGGATGGTACGTGTGTTTCCTTTCTACAGAAAAAAAAGGTGTACATGTAGGCTGATGGACGTGGCTGTAATTCACCAATGCCAGGAAAAATAGTTACTTAGCTAGCTAGTGCGTAACTGTGCATAGTGGTTAACATTTTAAAAACTTAAAAATAACACACATATTATATTCTCATAGAAAAATGTGCATCTAGTTGCCATATTCAAAACTTGAGCCTTGAATAAATTGTAGTCCGAGTTTGTACCACTCTTCCTCTATGTTAGTTTGGATTATTTTAGCTGATTGCTCTTCTGATATCAACCGGGGCAGTCTGACCCATAAGTCATCCCTCTTAGCTTTAAGCATTCTTCCATTCTCGTAGAGTTTTCTTTTTCTCTTAGCAACATTCTCTCTTTCTGAAGTAAAATCCGCAATCTTAGCTTTTACCCCATTGATTTCCGCTTCTAACTCTCTCTCCCTTCTTTTCAAGTATTCCAACTGCTTCCATATTTCATTCTCTGATTCCTCCACCTGCCTGAACTCTCTCACATTACCTTCAACCCCTTCTTTCAGTTCTCCAACTTTGGACATTTCTACAGCTGCAGATTCCAGTTTGAAACTTGCATCATTATAATCCACAAACCACTCAGTAAAACTCCTCGAAATTTGACTTATAACTGATCTCATCCTCAGGGATATTCCATCTTTTGAGGTCAAACTAAGGAGGTACTCAAGATTGTTCTTCATCAGCTTTGATTGTTCAGGTTGTAACAGAAGAGAGAATTTTTCTGAGACAAAACCTCGTACTATTTGCAGTGCTTCCTGGGTCCCCTCTCCTGACACTGTGTTGACCTGGCTATCTTCGGGATCAGACAGAGTTGCCAGCTCTGCTTCAAGAGATGCATAAAATGCTTCCATCGAGATCAAACTATCACCAGCGTCTTTTGACTCCAACTGTAGAAATGCTCTAGATTCTGGAATATGCATGTGAGATTCCCCTGCTTCTGGGTTTCCTTTCGTCCTTGTGAAGCCAATCTTTTCGGGATTCTTAATGTTGGAAGTACCATTGTTTTTGCTTGCATAGGCAAAGGAAGTTGACTCCTAATTCGAGAACGTGAAGAGAGAAATTGTTAGAAAAGTCATGGGGCCTGTTATTTTATTGGATAATTAGCTCAAGCTGCATATATAGGTGCCAGACAGATTTCGAAGAAGGAAATAATAATGATCTCAGTTTCATATTCATCTCCTTCTTTCCTTCTGGTTCAGATTATACAAGTTGGGAAAATGAGGAGGAAAACAAAAATAAAAACACCACTCAGGATTACCTGCTCAAGTTTGCTCTTCTCCAGCTTCCTGTTGCACTTTCAATAAAAAAATCCTTATTTTGTTCTTCCTCAGCGAGGTCACTGTATTTTACTGTTCCTTTTCCTCTGTCCTTGACCACTACGTCACGTCTTTCTGGGTCTTCATTCTCAGTTCCAGTCAAATATTCTTCCTCGTCCTCATCATCTGCTCTGCTAGATCCTTCCATCAAACTTACAATCTTCTTGTCAACAAGCTCAGCTGATGCTTGATCAAAAGCAGCGTGTCCACCACTTACTTCATAAATGTCGGCATCATTATTTTCCATTTTGTGACGGGCAATATCTGAACCCCGAAGATCAGGGCTTATGAAGGAGACGTCGTGGATGTTCATTCTATCCTTAGAGAGATGAATGCCACTGAATCTAACAATGGAATTGTGTGGATGATTGTTCTTAGCAGTACATGAAATCCCCACATGGTTCCAACTTCTGTGAAGATGCTTGTTGATGTAATGCCTCTCTTTGGCTGTTAAGTGAATTCGCAGGTCAAACAGCCAGACATGGTCCCTCGGCAACGTTCTTTCACCTTTTAGCACTTGAATGTCATTGATGGTCAGTGTGAATTCACATGTAAAATTGGTTTCTACTTCAGTTTGACCCCCTAGAACCAAAAGTGCCGCAATTCCAGGGAATTCTCGGCGAACCCAAAAACCCACAGATCCTCCTCTGCCACAATAGTCGAACCACTTTGGGATTCGCTTCCTCCACACTACAATGTCCATGTTCTCCACCTCTTGAAATGCCTGTTAATAAAATAATAAAAGAACTGATTTATAGAATTTAAACCTATCAAATAGTGGAAAAAAATTATGTTCAGTGTTCCGCAAGGTCCCTGTTTATCTTATTACACAAGTTATTGAGGGAAAAATGAGCTCAGTAATCTGGATCCAGATTCTCTGAAATTTCATAAAATTAGTTGTTTTAACTACTCTTCTTCTAAAATAAAACAAGAGGAGTTGCGTGTGAATTGTAGTGTTTTTATTACATGCAAGTACAGGAATGAGGGAAATGTACCTGACTTAATATTACGTCGAATGAATCCTGAGTCAATGATATGCAGTTCCTTGCATCTATGTGTTGCAAGTAAGGTGGAAGCACAGAAACGTATCTAAGCTGCTTGCAATTTTTCACACAAAGAAAAAGAAGGTTTGCAAGTTCTTTAATGCACTCATGAATGGTTACAAAGTTGTTGTTTGATAGTATCAACCACTTCAATTTTAAAAAGGAACTGAGAAACAGCTCGAGATCATTATCAGATAAATCACAATTTTCTAAAACCAGTTTATTTAACTTCGGTGCCCAATTTGTCCAATACATCATTACTATCTTCCCCAGCAGCTTTGGACCTGATGAACATTCTTCCACATTATCTTCTTCAGTATTATGAAACATGTCAGTGTGGATATGAGGATCCTCAGCAGAAGATTTCAAAACTAGCTCTTGAAGACCATCAATCTTTGTTATTGAATTGTGAAAGACTTTTATGGAAGTCCCTTGTGTGCCGGCATGTTTCATATCTTCCTTTTCTGCCAACTTATTCGAGAAACTCGGCAAGTTAGAGCGTTTTCCAAGATTTAGAGGTTCAAGAGATGCAGAACTCATTCCTGCAGGTTGCAAACGCTCAAGTTTGAGGCAATTTTCAATAAGCAGTGTGCCCAGATTTCCAATAAATTGATCAAAAATTTCAGCTAAGGTTGGACATTTGCTAGTAAGAAGTGCTGTAGAGACATCTGGTATTCTTGTAATAGAACCACTGTCACTGAGGTCCATCAAATTAGTTATATGGCAATGAGGCGCGTTGAGAACAGGAAGTATCTCTGGATAATGCTCAGTTGGTAAAGATAGCGACTGATGTTCATTCCACTCTAGCAATCTGAAATTGTTGTTAGCAAGAAGTTTAAGGACCCTAGAAACTCTTGAGTTCTGAACTAAGGGAATTCCTGTACAAAACCCATTCCCAACTCTTGGAGATTCCTCTTCAAGGATTCCAATACCATATTTCATCAAAACAAGTTTCCACTCTTGGATCGTTTTGCCAAACAAATCAGAACCTATAACATTCAAAGCCAATGGTAAGCCTTGGGCATATTTCACTACATGCTTTGCTATCTCCGCATAGCTTGGATCAGGTTCACTTTTTTTGAAGGCATTCCAACTAAACAATTCAAGTGATTCATCATCTTCCAGTCCTTTCACTTCATGCAGAATTTCAACCCCATGTTGTCTTAAGAAATGTTCATTTCTTGTTGTTATAATTATCCTACTTCCCTGCCCGAACCAATCTTTTCTTCCAGCTAAAGATTTCACTTGTCTAAAATCATCAACATCATCAAGAATCAAAAGAATCTTCTTGAAACGAAATCTCTTTTCTAATATAGGAATTCCTTGACTTACGTTGCTGCACTTGATATTATTTTCTCCAAGCAAGTTCGAAAAAATTGTCTCTTGTAGTTGTGCTAGACCATTCTTCCTTGAGTTTTCTCTCACCTCACCAAGAAAACAAGAGGAATCAAACTGATTAGCAATCGAGTTATACACTGCTTTGGCGATCGTTGTTTTACCAATTCCAGCAATCCCATGAATTCCCACCATCAAAGCTTCTTTTTTAGAGTTAATACTTAGAAGTGATATCACTTCTAATATTCGAGACTCCAATCCCACGGGATGATCAGCTATGTGTAAAATTGTGCGACTTAATATTTTAGAAACCTCTTCCGTGATTTTTTGAACAAACTCAAACTCATACCTGTAAAGTTCACCAAACAAGATACTATATGAGAATAAATTTATAAGAAATAAGATGGAAACAGCAATATTGGCGATGATTCACAATATTTTGTATGTTTTAATTGAATAATTGGTCCAATTGGAAGTCATGTATCTAGAGTAGCCTAGCATGTGGACCAAAGCTTTAACGTGCAAGATTTGGAGAATTCAGAGTATCAGCCTTTTACTCAAGTGAAGAAGCAGACTATGCCCAAAAAAAAAAAACAGAGAGAGAACAATTTCAATTTCTCATGCTAATAGGGTTCCTTTTTTAGGAGCTTTTGACTCCAATAGCAGCGGCAAAACATCCTAGGTGATCAAAGAGAAGAAGCCCAGAAGACAGAGGACAAGATTGGAATAATTTATGGGGAAATTGTGGATCTCATGTAACATTTCTCCAATTAAGCTTTTCTTCTTTATTTCCTCTTTACTTTAATGTTTGTTGCTGATATTTGTTGTCATTACAACCATGTGCGGCCAAACTTCTGTAGACCTTACAGATTTATGAACCTTTATGCATGATTCGTCGTTAACTTTCTCCTTAGTTATTGTTATTTAATGGATGCTTAATATGAATATCTTTTGCTAGTGCTAGAGATTGACTGACTATATATTGAAGAATAGTTTTGCAATTTGCCTAGATTATGGGAACCCGTCCTATAGGTGTACCTATTTTTTTTTTTTTCAGTGCATGATTCTTCTCACCCTCTAGTTAGAAGGTGGGGAGTTAGACGAACGGTCTTAGTAGTGGTTCTGGGCAAAAGCATTACCAAGTTCATAGTTCCATTTTTTTTTCCTGCAACAGACCTTGCATTGGTTTTGTCAAAACCGCTCCCGTATGCTATTGTAGTAGTTTAACCGCTACAAAAGCAATCAAATAATCACAACTAGAGGTTTTTTGTGTAGCACGGGTTGGACCATTGTACAACACTTTCAATATAGGAGGGCATATTCATGTTGTCATTTATAGACCGACACTTAAGGGAAATATTGAAATATCAAGGGTAATGAGCTTAACTTGATGTGAAAAAAAAAAAAAAGAAAAAGTCATATAGAATAGAATTTAAAGAGATATATGAGTCAACTTTGACTCAAATGCCTAAGCCATTACTCCCTATGAGCAACACCAAAATTTGACGGCAATGTTGAAAGGAACACGTGCTACGTTTTAACTCTGTAGTAAAGCACAACATAGGTCAAATCCCCAACTTTGAATCTCTCTAGTCTCTACTGAAGTTTTCGTGCATCCTGTTTATATCCTCTCACAATTAAATTTTTATTTTTTTCAAGTTGTAATTGTGAGAAGATGTCGAGAGCATGCATCAAAACTTACAGCAAAGATTCAAAATAATCCGTCATATCCCCTATGAGCAAAGTAGTAAGCAAGTCAACTGTAAGGGTATGTTTGGATACAATATTTGACATTCTAAATGGATTTTGGGAAACCATCTTTTAGCAAAAGTTGTTTGGATACTTTTTTACTTTAAAAAGTCAATTTACTAAAAATTGATCTGGGTTACTTTTACTGATATGAGCTACAAACTTTCAATTTATTAACATGATTTTTTCATGTATCTGATGGAATCTCTTTCGCTGCACAAACCTAAAAGAGGAGAAATAGGAAAATACAAGCCTATAAGAGGAGGAATAAGAAAATACAAGAACAAGGAAAAGCACATTTAGGAGAGGCTGAATGTTGACTTTGCCATTCTTACAGTAAGAGGAAAGCTATAGAGACTTAGTATTGACTTAAGGTGGTTTTAAGATTGTCTTGGCAGAAATAATGTTGAAGATTGTGCAAAGTGCTTTTGGGTTATAGTAGTCACTAGTGTCATTTTGGAAGGGGGCTGATATCTTTTGTATTGTGGTGAGAGGAGAGACTGGCTCTCAAAAACCAAGGGGCGTGCCTATCTAGCATTGCAGTGTTTTTGTTGTTCTTGTCCCTTAGTTGTTATTTGGGTACTTGGGTTGTAATAGGGAATAGGGCTTGTTCTAAATCAGTGAAGTGCCTTTGTAACATTGATTTAGCCTTTTGGAGTTTTAATATCAAACCTCAGCATTTCCCTTGACCTGTCGGCTGTTTTACTTTTATATTTCTGCATTTTCTTTACTTGTTGACAGCAGGGTTGCATCAGTATCCAAACATAAATCCCATTACAATAATTAATTTTGGCAAAACTTCAATTTTGACAAATAAACTTTTGATAAATAGACTTTTGGCAAACTAAAAGCCAAACACATTTTAAGTCTAAATTGTCTCTCAATGGTTTTTAATGCACTTCAAAGGGGGGGAAAAGAAAAGCTAATAGATTAGTGCCTAACTTGAACTAAACTAAAGTGCAAACTCACTGCATTTGAAAGTCCTAGATTCAACTACTAGTGCAAGTGCATGGTACAAGTGCCAAGTGCAATTGTTGTGATAAAAATGCAATCCTCATTAGTATTAATTGAGCGTGCAAATATCGACTAAGCTAATACTAGTTGGTTGTTCTCGCTTTCAAGATGCTTCTTAGACCCAATAAGATTAATACCAATTTAAAAAATTAAGATATAATAAATTCTTAGAACATATATTGACATCCTTCAACATGAAACACAAGATATCTTTTAAAATTTTAATTTAAGCTCCATTCCATCAAACATTATATTCAGACATAAAATATGAATGTTTTGCAACCAAAAAAAATTACGCCCTTTAAGGGTCAAATTCACACATTAACGGTCAAATCTACATCTTCATCTACAATAAAAGTCACGCTTAAATGAAATATCATCTTTTAAAATAGAATATCTAAATACCACAAAATCAAACTTTACTCTTCTTTAAAAAAAAAAAAAAAAGTTTACCGGCCGTCTGTGAAATGCCATCCAGCCAAATTGGCAGCCTCCCGAAGCGCAGCTCTCCAGTTTTGCAATGTTTTTTGTGCAAGGCTCCAATCACGAACTGTTTGCTTGAGCCTGGCTTCATGCTCAGCCATTGACCTTCCAAAACTTCCACTCGCTTGCCTTACATCTGAAGGATATACGTTATAAAACACCGGTCGAACCTTCTGTCCCTTCTCCTTCATACATTCCATTATCTTCACCAGTTCGTCCAGGCACCAGCTTGACGATGCATAGTTCTCGGAGAATACTATGATGGCGATTCTAGATTCTTCGATCGCCTTCAGAAGAGCTGGGCAAATGCTTTCGCCTTTCCTGAGGCTGTCGTCGTCTCGGAAGATGTGTATCCCCTTTTGATTCAGAGCCCAACAAAGGTTGCCGGTGAAGCCATAACGAGTGTCTCCGCCATTGAAGCTTACAAAGACATCGTAGGTCCACCCGTGGATGAAAGAAGACGAAGAGCAAGCGCCTTCAAGTGCCATGTGGATTGGCTGCAGTGAATCACAATTCATTTGATCAAAATAGTTGGGACAGTGCTGCCTCATTAACTCCAAGTGAAGTTCAGGAGCTACTTGAGGTTCTTTTCATTTGCTTATGCTTATCGGAGCTGGCGAGTCTCTAACTCAGCGTCCATGAAATGCGGTATGGTTTTCGCGTGTATCACTGTGATGAGAGATTTAAAGTATTATTATATTTTTTAATTATTAAAATAAAAATTATAAAATAACTTTAATAAATTTTTTTATTTTCAATTTGATTTAGATTTAATTTAAAAAATTTAATTTATTAAGTAAAAAAATTTACTAAAGTTATTTATAAGTTTTATAACTTTTTATTTTAATAAATAAAAAATAGAATAATATTTAAATTTTGGATTGTTCTTATCAAAATTTAAATATTCTAAATTTTAATTTAGTATGTGTTTGGATAAGGATCAAACTTAATTAAATAATCTAAAATTAATTTTTTGTACCAAGTTATTCAACCAGTCAAAAAAAGTCAAAAATTAACTACCGGCTTAAAAGCGCATTTTTTCATTAGCTCTCTTAACGAGCTTTTGGTGAAAAGTTGACCAAAAGTGTTAAAAAAATTATAAAAAAAACTTAAAAAATTATAAAAAAAAATATAATATTAAATAAAAATAAAACTAAACTCTTTTTTTTCTTAATAAATTTTAAATTTTAAATTTTAAAAAAATTTGTTAGCTCAATTCTTGTCATCCGCATCCTTCACTTAGCACTTATTATAAAACTAATTTAAATTTAAATAAAATATTAATTGGTAAAGAAAAATTAAGTTAATTTAATTTAAAATTTAAGATCATTACAAAAATTGTTATAAAGATCCAAAAAGAGAGAGAGAAATTTTATATTATTTGTTACATTGTTATATTTTTTATATTGTTAAAATTTTAAGGTAGTGCTTAACATTTTTATTAAATATAACTCACATCCATGATGTCATTAAAAATTAATTTGTATATTATCATCTTCATTAATTATTGTAAAATTAATGTTTGGTATTTAAGAATTAAATCTTTCTCTTTTATTAAATTTATTTTAACTAAGACATATTAAGTTACTTATTTATGTAAATTTAAATGTTAATATTAATATAATTTTAAATTTTAAATTAATTAGATATGTAATTAAATATAATATATTTTACTTCTTAAATAAAATGTAAGCACTTTAATAATATTAGATATAAATTTATCAATAATTTAATTTTGAAAGGCAATATCCTTTATAGTAATTCAGACAGATAAAATTGATTCTGAATAAATTATTTAAGCATATTTAATTCTGTTAAAATTAATTTTTAAAAAATTATATTCAAATAAATTGTGTTATAATATAATTAATTATAATTAAAATTTATTCTTTAATTAATTATGTTTTTTAAGTTCTTATACCTAACTGGAATCTAAATGGCAACTAATCTCATCAGATCACTGTGATAGCACTGAAAGAATGAGTTGGTTTCAAACCGTACGATATTTGGTGTTCGGGCACAAGCACCGCGTGGATTTCGCGCATGAAGAGAAACGTACTATTGGAGTGGCTGTTTATTTGAATGGGCCCAAGGGAAGTGGAAAAAAAAGGATTTTCAGGGTGTGATCAATTTTGTTTTTGTGTTTTCTTTTGTTTGACCAACCAGGGTGTGATGAAGTTACTCGTGCCTTCTCTCCGATGGCATGTTGCAGACCAACCACTGAGGCCCAATCCAGTTGACACGTACACGTTAGGGAGGTGTTGATGATGGGTCAAGACGCAGCTGTAGGATCAAACAGCCCGCATGGAAGCTTCGGTCCATGTATGACTTGCATAAATGAGAGGGCGAGAGATGGTACGTTGATTGTTACCCGAATTCCTTCTGTCATGTTTCTCTCTCTCTTCCTGGGCAGTACTATCTGCATTTCCTTGATTTCTGTTATGCTTTCTGATGCATCAGAGTTGTAATTGAGCTATGACGATATAATAAATAACTCGTTTTTTTTTGTCGAAGATATAATAAACAACTCGTTATTCCTTCTGTATTGTTCTTTCTGTTGATTAGATTTGAGTGTGACATCGCAATCCTCTCTTTTCCGGAATTTCTCTCTGTTCTTCTTCTTCTTGCTTCCTTTGTCAATTAGCATCGTCTCTTTTTGAAAAGCTCCTTAATTATTGTGAGATTTTGGAGTAGCTATATTAACCATAACAGTGGTTTCATGCGGATAATATCGGCGGCCAAATCAGACGAAAGATTAAAGATAAAAGAAAAAACATGTGAGCTGCCTCGCAAGCTTCTGGGCATACAGAGATGAATAAGACGACGACGAAGAGAAGGGAACGAAGTCGCGAAGATGAATTGTGCGGACGTGCAGCAGGAGCCGAGTTGCTACTAAAAAATTTATTATTTATTTATTTCTTTTAAAATGTCACACCTTGAGATAAGAATAACAACAAACCCAGAAATGGATCCTTTCAAGCATTACTGGCAATGACGAGTAAGAGTCTAAGAAAGAAGGGAATTACAGAGATAAAGTCATAAAACTCAGAAAGAAAGGCCAGAGGGGGAAGGAGTCACAGAAAGAGAGAGAGAGAGTCCAATCGCAATAACCATGATCTCTCAGTCATTGCATGCAGGCGTCTTCTATTCCTTTAGATCACGTTTACTTGCTAAAATAGAATAGAATAGAATGGATTAAAAAAATAAAAATAAAAATAAGATAATTAAAGAGAATATGTGAGCACATTCATAAAGAAAAAAGGAGATTTAGTTCACAAGATTGTAAATCAAGATTCATGAAATTTTAAAAAATGTAATAATTTTTATTTTTATAATATATGTTAATGAGTTTTATCATGCTTATTGTGAGAGAAAAATAATTTAGTTTATTTTAATTTTATTTTTTTAATTAATTTTATTCTACTACATCCTAATATGCAAAAGTGACTTTATCGCAGCCCCATCAATGACGGATTTAGAAAAATTAATTTATGAGGGCAAAAATTATATATAAAATAAATATTAATATTATCACTAAATTAATTATAATTTTATTAAATCATATTAAATATAAAATTTATTAAAATTAATTTCTATTAAAGAACTATCCATAAAATATAAAATTATAATAACATAAAATTATATCTATTAAAATTTTGCTTTTCATTTTAATTAAAAAACTTAAATCTCTAGAATTTTGATCAATAAAAGTGAGTTCAATGAATAAAGATTTAGTTCATGATCTTTCAAAATCTGTTTCATACATCTAAACTTTTATATGCTAACAAAATTTAATTCTTTTGTGTAGTATACTTTTTTTGTGACAAAATTTTCAATTTAAACATACAATCAGAGAAATTATTTTTAAAATATTGCTCCCTTCTTTTTAAAACTCTTTCTATTTAAGTTTAAAACACATAAATAGGACCTTAATCAAATAAACTTTTTAGGAAATTAGTGAAATTTTTTTATAGGATCACATGAATTTTCTTTTCTTTTTTGAGGGGCAGGGGGCAGCTGAAATTTTTGAATGGGGGCAAATAAAATATTTAGGGTCATCATGTGTTTTTTTTTTTTTTTTTGGGCTTGTGGGGACAATTACCCCCTCTATAATACAAGTAGATCCGTCCCCGCATAAAACTATATATTTTATATTTTGCTGAGTGAATATTGTCTAAAATCCACTTGTTCTGAACTCAGCAGATCGACCAGGAAGTCAGGAACGATGGATGCTGAAAAGAAAAACGATGAGCTCCAACGATCCAAGGTAGAATGAGAATAACCATGGCTTCACCGTATGACTCTTCTCCTTGTCGTCCTTTTGCGTGGCCCATCACTGCTATCATTGACTCTGTTTGATTCCTATTCAAATGAAAGAAATTGGAACTGGAATTGAAAAATTGCAGGCAAGGTGAGAGAGGATGAGGATAATGGGAGGAGAGTGAGGTTGGTAGAGAAGATTTGAATTTGGAATAATGCTATAATGGCAATCCGTGGGAATTTGGAATATACAATCAAGCCTTTTTTTTAAAAAAAAAAAAAAAAGTTGCATGTCTTTTAATAAAATCATATTCTCTATATTTGCAACTGCACCTACTGAATTCTGTAGTTTAAGTATTTTTCTTGTGTAAAAGTACAAGGCTCCTTTGTTGATTCGGTGTGATATTCGAGCTATGGATGATGCAGCTTATGAAATTCTAAGCAACAAGGAAGTTGTTGCAGTAAACCAAGGCATGTACAGAACAAAAACTCTGCAAGATAGCCTTCTATGTAGATGGAAGCATTGCTTATATCTTCCATTAAAAAAAAAAAAATCTAATCCTTGTAATCTTCTGGTAATGCAGATAAACTAGGGGTTCGATCAGGGAAAAAAGGTGAAAAGTAAAAACGATTTGGAGGTAATTTCTTTATTTTCATTGGGAATAAGATTCTCAACATCATCACTTACGTCATACAATGCTATACATATTTCATTGCAAAGCTATCAAACTGATTCCAAAGTCCAACTAAAAATAGAATGATCTTTATTTTTTCTCATGCAGATTATTTGGGATTATAATCATTCTCTTGGATTGATATAGCTCATCAAAGGATAACTATATCTTTATGATGGAGATGGAGTGGTTAGGGACATGCATATTTTTCATGCTTTAAGGCAAACAAGCCTTAATTCATGTGATAAGGTGTATTAGGATAAGAAAACCATTGGTGAACATCCATTCATGTTTTGTGCTTTTGGCTTGAAGTGACCATTATAAAAAATAATGGCATATAAAGAGCATCTCAAGTTAAAACCACTTTTATTTATGCATATATACCAATTTTCCCAGATGGAAACTCCTTAGAAGAAACTGAAAAGTGACAGGTTTGGGCTGGTCCCCTGAGTAATCACAAGGTGGCTGTGATCTTATGGAATAGAAGTTCATCATATGCGACAATCACTGCGTCTTTGTCTGACATAGGCCGAAAACCTGAGACTCTAGTTGATGCGTGAGACTTATGGACTGTGAGTCGCATGCCAATAATGTTCTTCACAATTCATTTCACATAAGGTGGCCATCATTTTGATTACATGTAATGAATTGTGCAGCACTCAACTGTATCATCAG